GTATAATTTTGTTAGAAGGTAAAAAAAAAATGCCATTCAGCAAGTGTAATAAATTATTGGTGTCACGTGTATGTTCCTGTTGAGTTCCTGTTTTCCTTATTTGGTCCTTCCTGTTCCTGTCCCAATGTAGTTTGATTTGTTCCAGGTGTATCTCATTATTAGTTATCCTCCTCACCTGTCTGCCCCTCGTTATCAGCCCTATTTAGTTCTAGCCTGTTCTGAGTTTCTTTGTCTGGAATTGTTTTGTCTACATTGCTACGCGTGTTCTCCTGGTTCCTTTGGAAGTTTATTAAAGACTGTTTGAAAAAAATTCCGCATCTCCTCATTCCTCGCTCCGTGCTCCTCACAGTAGCATCCCTTGACAGAATTCCAGACCCTTTAAATGAAAGTAAGCAGCGCCTTTTCTCCCCGATTGTTTTCCGTTTTTCAAAAAAGTGTTTTGTTTTTCCTGTTCATTTCTCCCTGCTATAATGGAGGAACGAGCAAGGTTCCTTGCCTTGGCTCATACGAGCCCCGACCCGATTGTTTTCACGAGGGCGTTCGTGCTGCTCGCCCTCGCCAGGTCCCTCGAGGGGGAAACCCTTGTGATGCTGTTCCGGATCGGAATAACTTACCATCGCCCCGCGGAGCTCCCAGACACCACCAACCTCGGATGGAAGGAGGCAGTGCCTCTAGGACGCCCGTTCCCCCTCCCCGATGGTATTGTTACTGCGCCGTCCGGGAGGGGAGCGATCTGTCACGTGTATGTTCCCATTGAGTTCCTGTTTTTCTTATTAGGTTCTTCCTGTTCCTGTCCCAATGTAGTTTGATTTGTTCCAGGTGTATCTCATTATTAGTTATCCTCCTCACCTGTCTGCCCCTCGTTATCTGCCCTATTTAGTTCTAGCCTGTTCTGAGTTTCTTTGTCTGGAATTGTTTTGTCTACATTGCTATGTGTGTTCTCCTGGTTCCTTTGGAAGTTTATTAAAGACTGTTTGAAATGAATTCCGCATCTCCTCGTTCCTCGCTCCGTGCTCCTCACAGTAGCATCACGTGACAATTGGCTATGAATTACCTGCATTTTATATTGTAGTTATATTGTAGTGTGTGTTATGAATACAGATTGTGGTTGATTTATTCATACATTTACGAGCTGTGAATGTAAAATGTAAAAATTATTGATTGTTAAAAATAAAATAAATCATGAATACATGAAATATACAATCATATAATGTGAAATTCTTGCTGTTCTAAATAAACACTAATGAACTCACATAAGTTCTATGTTGAGTACAGTTGAGTTAGCATAAGTCTATAAGGCTATAAATCATGAAGATCAAATACTTATTACAATATAACTGTCATGAATCCGGTCCATGAACTTCCGTCTGCTCGCCACCAGAGGTCACTCTTCCACTACTATGGACACTTGCACCACACCACTGTTGCACTTCACCCGGACTACAGTTCCCATCATCCACTGCACTGATTACACACACAGTTGATTGCACACAGCTGTAATCAATCACACATTCCCTATATAACACTCACTCTGATCCCTTCCCACTGCCGAGTATTGTATAGTGTATATCACTCACCTAGCGATAGCTACTCTACGGAGCCCATTAGTTTTCCATAGCCTTACCTTAGTCTTGCCTTGTCTGTTTTCTCGTATCCTGATCTTTGCCTGTGTACCTCGAATTCCCCCTCTCATCTTGCCCTATTCAGATACTGTTTGCCCCTGCCTGGACCTTTGCATTGTACTTGGATTTACACCTCTAGTCTCGCCCTGTTAATTCTGTTTGCCGATCGTAGACCCACGCTAGCCCTAGAAATTTCTTGTGTCTTGCTCTCTATATACCTGTTGCCATTATCTGACCCTTGCCTGTCTCTAACCATGTCTATGAATAAAGCCGTGCATTTGCATCCGCACGTCTCATGTCTCGTCAGCCCCGTAACAGAATACTCGGCCACACAAGGATCCAGTGGCTTCTCGGATGGACATTGGACGGGTATGGATACAGCAAGAATATTGTTAGCCCTTAGATAGGGCACTCGATCGCTGGAGAGCTATATTCAAGAATATTTAGCCATCGCTAATTATTCAGATCTGCCGGACTGTGTTTTGTTAGACGTTTTCTGTGAGGGCATTAATCAACCGCTAAAGTCCAAAGTCATGCTTTGTTGACGGTTGGCTCAGCGTTCACTGTGGGTATTGCGGAGGAACGCGACCCTGCACTCACTCATGTAATGGCGGCCGCACTAGAGCACGCTCACAAAATGGCGGCGACAGCGGAGCCTGATCGCAAAATGGCGGACAAAACAGAGCCCCGTTATGTCACAGCTGCCAATCCTGAGTCAAATCAAGTCACAGTTGATCATCATGAATCAAGTCAACTCACAGTTGATCATCGTGAGGCAAGTCAAATCACAGCTTATCTTCATGAACCAAGTCAAGTCACAGTTTATTGTCATAAGCCAAGTCGAGTCACAGCTGATCTTCATGAACCAAGTCAAATCACAGTTGATCATCATGAGTCAAGTCAAGTCACAATTGATCTTCCTGAGTCAAGTCAAGTCACAGTTGATCGTCATGAATCAAGTCAAGTCACAGTTGATTACCCTGAGTCAAGTCAACTCACAGCAGATCTTCATGAGGCAAGTCAGGTCATAGTTGATCTTCATGAGGCAAGTCAAGTCAAAGTTGATCGTCATAAGTCAAGTCAAAGTTGATCGTCATAAGTCAAGTCAAGTCACAGATGATCGTCATAAATCAAGGCAAGTCACAGTTGATCGTCATGAGGCAAGTCAAGTCACAGTTGATCGTCATGAGGCAAAGCGTATTGTGGGGAAAACAAAAGCATTTGAACTTAGCTTTATTTTGGCTGTGCTTTTTTTAATTGTTTGTAGATCTGACAACACAGCACTTTGTAATAAAAAGACGCACATAGTAAATGTGGGCATGTTATTGCTGACAACGTAACACATTTGTTAAAACAAACGCAAAGATCATCATAATATTATCTGTAAAAAATAGTCAAAAACAGTTGCATAACACTAGTACACAAACGAAATGGTTACAGTACGAAATATACCACAAATGCAAATGCTGGCCATGAAGAAGGCTATACCATCTTATTCAGTTAACTCATTCATTTAAAGGCACAATATGTACATTTTCGTCACTAGAGGTCGCATGTTCAAAACAATAACAAAGGCGAAGCTTGATGACGCAGTGAAGGGGGTGGAGCCGATGGGAGACGTCGTTTTCACTGTTAAGAGATGTATGGAATTCACGAATCATGTTCACGGATGAGGTAATGAATTACCTGTACCTTCCACAGTTGTTCAAACCGCGAATAAATTATACAGAGAAAGCGAGCAAAGAACATTTACATTGTCAAAGAACATTATGACTGATTTCCATCTAGCGCAAGATTAAGCACTTTCAAAAAAAACTCCCCTTGTAATCAGTAAAGCTGTTGACGAATGAATCGCTTACTTACATCATACATACATCTGCACTTGTTTATGATGAGAGAATTTGCGAGCTGAATTTAGTCAGACTGTCAGAGCACGCGCACACTCACCACTGTTTCAGCGACAACTCATCTGAACGCCTCTGATTGGCCATTGCATTCATAAGCTCAACAGACTCGTGTGTGATTGGTTATAATGCGCAACACTGTAAAAACGCGGTAAAAGAGTCATGATGCACCGTTGAGCAGATATAAATTTAATGCTACAGTCAACACTTTTCATTTCAGCCTTAATGGATTTACTTTAACTGTGTCCACAGTTTACTTTAATTTTGTCCACGCTTATAGATTCTACACGCGAAAACCGAGGATAGCGCAGATATTACGTCATTGATAGGTGACCATGACCATGGAGGTACAGGGACGAGTCCATTTTTACAACTGTAATTTCTCTGGATTTACAAAACGAACTTTTGGAATAACATAAGTACACAACTGCATGAAATATATAACACTGTGCAAGTGTTTTTTGGATATTTTATTACAAAAATCTTACATACTGTGCCTTTAACTCTTATCATCAACTTATTACCGGCGGTTCCCAATGAGAAAAGGCCACACAATCATTCTCTCTTAAGAAATACCTTCTCAAGTAACCGCATTAAAATGGTTATTAAAGATATGCTCTAGGGCAAACTGTCAGTACATACCCTACATAAATACTTTCCCTCATTGATTTGACACAATAGTGGCCGTTGGCAAACAGAGGAATGCAATTTGTGCTGCTGTGCACACCCACAAGCAAACACAGAGCCTTAAATAGTAAAATGTGAATGTGTGTGTGTGTGTGTGTGTGTAAAGCAACAAAGCAAACGGTTCCAACTGTTGTACCTGTTACCACACCCTGCAGTCAAACCCTGGTGTGGCTTTCTATAGTTTCAGAACGCTCTTGTAAGCACTTGTTGGCTTGGCAGCTGAATCAACAGCCACGTCCTTTCCCACAGACTTTATTCTAAGGTAACTCTTTCTTAAATTATTAATTGTGATTACAATTTGTGTGCTTAGTTTTTAAAGGTATTTTTAAACTAATTATAAATAATATTTATGTTTTATTGTTTTTGGACGTCGTTCCAGGTCCTTTGTTCCATATTCTTGGTCTTTGCTCTGAATTTTTTTTCCAGGTCAATACATTTAAACATGGCTGTGTTTGTAGTAAAGAATTTATGTTCTAAATACTCTATTTAAAATAAATAAATAAATAAATAGAAGTGTTTATGTCTATTATTGTTAATTGTGTATCCAAAACCACTTTTTTGACATCTACATGTTTTTCATATGTAGAAATTTTGGATAAAGTTGAAGTTTGTGTCTGCTATAAGTAGTATTACAGTAGTAGTATATTACTCTATACTATATAAGTATATTATTCTATGCTATTTTTATACTGGCAACAGAAGAGAGAGTAGAATTAATCTCAATATTTCCATCACTCTCAGTGTATTGTGAAAGTCTCACTAAAGGTTTTTTTCCCCCCCAGAAAAAGTCCTTTCCCACAGACTTTATTCTAAGGTAACTCTTTCTTAAATTATTAATTGTGATTACAATTTGTGTGCTTAGTTTTAAAAGGTATTTTTAAACTAATTATAAATAATATTTATGTTTTATGTTTTTGGACGTCGTTCCAGGTCCTTTGTTCCATATTCTTGGTCTTTGCTCTGAATTTTTTTTCCAGGTCAATACATTTAAACATGGCTGTGTTTGTAGTAAAGAATTTAAGTTCTAAATACTCTATTTAAAATAAATAAATAAATAAATAGAAGTGTTTATGTCTATTATTGTTAATTGTGTATCCAAAACCACTTTTTTGACATCTACATGTTTTTCATATGTAGAAATTTTGGATAAAGTTGAAGTTTGTGTCTGCTATAAGTAGTATTACAGTAGTAGTATATTACTCTATACTATATAAGTATATTATTCTATGCTATTTTTATACTGGCAACAGAAGAGAGAGTAGAATTAATCTCAATATTTCCATTACTCTCAGTGTATTGTGAAAGTCTCACTAAAGGTTTTTTCCCCCCCAGAAAAACATCCTACCGTCCCTTGCTCTGTTTTGACAGGGAACTAATATGAATCTGTCAGTGGATACAGGGACAATACATTTCATCACTTGGAACATTAATGGACTTAAAGAACAAAGAAATAAAAAATTTAGAGAACTACGTAATGCTGCTGTTGTTTTCTTACAAGAGACACACATCGGGGAAAACGATAATCATATTTTAGAGTGCAGTGAAGATGAGTGGCATATTTTCTTCACAAAGTTTACATCGTCCCGAAGAGGAACAGCTATACTTGTTAGGAAAACATTAGACTTTGAATACATCAGTGATGACAAAGATACTTATGCAGGATATATTGTGTTGAAATGTAAACTGCAAGGTCAGTTGTACACACTTGTTAGCATTTATAACCACCAAACTGACACAAAAACCCTTGATAAACTTTCAAGGTACCTGCAGTTAATGGCCACAGGGTTGCTGGTGATTGGTGGAGATTTCAACACTGTTCTCAATCCCTTTATCGACAAAAAATGTTATACCAACAAGGTGACAAATAACCGAACTCAGAGCAAACTGCTTCCCTGTGTGGAAAATTTTATGAAATCTCTTCAGCTTGTCGACATCTGGAGAAGAAAAAACCCTGTAAAGCAGAATCACACATTCTGCAGAGGTGAAACTTCATCAAGACTGGATTACTTCTTCATTCCAGAAGAATGTCTGTGGCGTGTCAGAAGTTGTGCCATCAGCGATTCGGAGAGACCTGACCATCAGCCTTTGTCCTTGAAGATCAACAATGTCTCCGCAGACACTTTACAGGAACATCTCCAGATACAATCACTCTCACAACTGCTCAGGGATAAAAGTCATTTCGGGATCGATTTATCGTTGGTTCAAGAAGGCTCACATGTACTCAGTGAGGTTGACATTGTCTCAGCTGTACATTCTCTTCAGGTGTCAGACACACCAAGACCAGATGGCATTCCAGTTTCCTTCTACAAAGAGAAAATTCAAGATATAATTCCATACATAAAGGTGCTATATGATGGAATCTACAGTGGC